ATATATATATATATATACAATAAAAGCTGGCTGCATGATTACGTTAATCGTATAGCAATTTAGTAAATCTCGTTTTAATTTTGTATCGTCTATCCAAATAGCACAGCAACGTCATTATAAAGCGCTGAAAAAGCGCTTATATATACTTTTTTTCTTAATGCTTTAGGCGCTGTGCTCTACTTGGATAGTTTAGAAAAAAAAATATATTAACAAACCTAACAATCGTATTCTTCAGAGAACGGTATTTCTTGATAATCCGCTATATAATTATAAATATTGATGATTTCATTTCTTCTTCTTTCAGAAAATATTGATCAATTTACAAAATAATTTTGGCAATTCAGTTCATGATTCCTTCAAAGCCGCATATATTTTAAAATAATAGGATTAAATTGCTGCAGGTTACTCCCGTCAAATAAATCGATATGGCACGTATGACGATTACATTGAACGCAAATAATAATTCAAAGAATAAAAAAGTAAGATTATATGTAATTATACACATGTGAATTATACATAAAATAAATATAATATTATCCTAGATGTACAAACAAATAATAGAGAGCAGAGAACTGTACATATTATATATACATATGTATATATGTATAAATGTTTAGATACCGAATGTATAAAAGATCTGGACTTTAGATCTGAGCTTGCGACAATTAAATTAATTATTGCGGTAACAGTACGTGTCATTGTGATAAATATAGAGATTTATATTGGCAACGTATATCACAAACACAAAATTTCTTATTTATTATTTATTATTTATTATCGCATATATATTTTTATAATATATTAGTAGCAATGAGTAAGGGGTGAAAGCACAAGTGCACAAATGATAGGAATCAATATTTTCTCAAATTTAGTACTTTTTATAATTGATCATAAGGAAATTCGTATTCGTAGAATTCCTTTAACTTGCTATGTGAATAATGAACGTGAAAATGAATCAAAATTACAAATGATTTTCCGGATAATTATTGTTGATGCATCGTGACGCTTATCATATTTCCTGCAAATAGATAAATATTTGCGTGCTTGGTAATCGATATATATATGATCTTAACGATGTCAAGGAACAGAATTTTCGTATCCCAACGATATCGATGAAAGTATCGTCAATATACGTTTTAAACATTCTGCGTTAATTTTATATTAACAATTTAAGATAAAATTCAAACGCACACTATGATTATAATAATAAATTAATTATTAATACATCAGTAGCTCTCATCTCTCAAGTGTATTATGTGTTACATATGTTAAACTTCATACAATATTAGATAATATTAGATAATAGAGAATGTGCACATACACGCGCGCGCGCGTGTGTGTGTGTGTGTGTGTGTGTGTGTGTGTGTGTGTGTGTGTGTGCGTGTGTGTTAAATAATAAAGAATAAGAAATGTTGCATCTGCTTTTTTAATCAATGTGGTCAAATGTAAAATAATTTTTCTTTATTGGATTTAGTAACGACAAAACAAGTAATTACACTTAATCAGCGGATTCCGCATTGCTTTCGCATTGCAAACGTCAGTCAAACTCACATACTATAAGAAGAATTTGCCGATGTGACCCATAAATAAAATGTTTTAAATTTTAATTGATACAAAATTATATTAAAATGACTCAAGGTTCATAATCCCTAATCCATTATTTCTGCTATTAACATATTAAAGTTAGTCTATATATTTAATCAAGTTAATTAATTTTAATATAAAAAAGATATTAATAAAATTTCAAAAATGATTCCGTACGTCTACACAGTATACAATCGAATGTGCATACACATACGATTCTTATATATAAAAGGATGCAAATCGTCGAATCGTCTCATTGTTAGTTAAGGACCCGATATATTGATCGAATCAACAGAGTGCATTATTCTTGTCAATTATTATTAATTTTTCGAGAAAAAAAACTTTGGAATAGACGGTGTTATACGGAGAGATTAGTGAGCATTTTGACAAAATGAATATATTCTTTTTCTCAGTCTTTGTTATGTATATGGTAAGTAAAATAAAGTAATAGAGCTGTACATCAGCTACTGCGCGCGCGCGCACAAAATTGTCTAATTCAATTTGATCAAAAAGATAATGACTTTAGTTTACACCAAATACTTGATACACGTATTAATTAGTAACTTATTTCTATTAAATTATCTTAATTTTAGCAACGTATTTATGATGTACTAAAATTGATATAATAATATTATAAATCCAAATGATTAATTAAATATCATGGATATGTTTAATTTACACAAATATCGCCGAAATTAAGATAATTCAATATAAAATTATTAGTTAGTATTCAGTGGATGTAAACTAGGCCAATAGTATATATACTTTTTTAACAAAAATTAATTTTGTCAAATTTTGCCAGATATCACTTGCAGATGTTGCCGAAATAGCGACGGAAAATAAATCTGAACAATTGTCCAGGAATTTATTGAAAAAAGAATCACAGAATGAAGAATTCCAAACAATATCAGACATTGACAGATCTGAAAGAATAAATCGTGGATTTGAAAAAATAATCGAGTTGGTTAATGTTTTAGGCCAAATGGACAATTTTGTTTACGATAGAACAAAAAATTTTATTCGCAAGCTCAATACAATGTACGATATGGACGAAAATGAAATAATTAGATATCGTAAATCTGATTCTAAAATCATATAACATAGAAAATAATTTCTTTAAGATAAAAAATATGTATATATTTTATCTTAATTATATTATGTATGTATATATTTCATTAATATAGTAATGTAATTATATTAATATTTGTAGTAAATTATTATATATTTTTAATCATGAATTAATTAAATCTATTGGACGATATTAATAGATTCTTATTTTAAGACCATATTATAAGTAATAATATTTTAAGATATTAATACGGATTGGTTCATGGCATCTTAAGTCTGTACTTAAAGCTATCTTTTCCTTCTCTCTTAGTTGTTAATTTTTCTATTTTCGCAGCAGAATGTACATTTTTTTATTAATTATTACAATATGTACTTATTATTATTACAATATATACTTATAAAGACAAATAAATGTTCTTTTATATATATCTCTTATACAGAGTATCCAATAATGGTCGATTTTTCAAAAATTTCCAACAATTAAAAAAAAGTTGAAAAGTGAATATTTATCTGCTTAAGGCCTCGTCTACAATCAAGTCGCTTGTCGGATGTCGTTAAAAGATGAGACCTGACCAATCCAAATGACTCCTAACAGCCGACATCGACAATCGACACGAAAAATGAAGGTAATGCGTATGCATACAACATACGACAACCGGTACAGTCAGCGCGATGCTGCAAACTGCTTTGAAGCGTTTTTTAATTGGTCAGTTTATATAATTCTTTCTTCTAATTGGTTCATCAAATGCTTCAAAGCATTTGTAGCGAGACTTTGACTGCAGCCAACGTCTCTCGACTGATTGTAGACCAGGCCTCAGTGCTACGGTCCACTTGATGCTACAAATGCTTTGAAGCATTTTCGTACGCTTAGTAAAATTCTTCTAATTGGTCAATTAAAAGCTTCGAATCATTTGTAGCGTCAAATGGACCGCAGCCTATGCTGAATTCATATTGGATCCGACGTGCGTCATACGATGCTTTGCAACTAATTAGAAAACAAGATTTTGCATCGTATCATCGATGTGGAATAAAATTCTGCTTTATGTTTTCCAACATTAGGCCAATATTAAGGCCATTCTACATTGATCGTATCGGAATGTCGGAAGTGTCGTAAAGGCTTAAACACAATAGGCAAACACACAACAATAGATACAGTCAACAGGGAATAACGAGCCATCCAATCAGAGCTCTGGTGTGTAAATTCGATATTATAGAATCCGATATCATAATATCCCAGAACTCTGATTGGATAGCTCTTGTGCCTATTGCATGCGCCTATTGTATATTGTATTTAAGCCTTGGTAAGCTCTTGCATCTGATTGGGATATTCCGTTAGAACTAAAAATATAGACAGATACAAGAGCTCATTGAATGCTCAGTGAGCGGTCGTAGTACTGAATGCATCCAATATTGATCTTACAGAGTATCGCACCTATACAGGCTACCATAGTGGAAGAACATAAGGTTAGTTAGAGTCCAATATTCATAATCAGTTCTTATATTCAAGACTGTCATAAATTCTGTTTTGAGGTGTCACGAACCAATCAGAGGACATTAGCATCTTACTTATAGCTCTGGCACATCCACGCGCGACATTTAACACGTGACATCTAATGAGAATATACTTTTAGAATGAAAACGTCGGTAAAATTATACACTTATTGGATATCGTGCGCGACTAACCTCTCGTTGATGTGCCGGAGGCATTAGATGTTATTTTATAGACGATCGTGAAATAATAATTGACTATGGCTGGTATTCATTGGCTACGGTCTACTTGCTACAAATGTTTCGAAGTATTTTTTGATTGGTTAGTAAAATTCTTTCTTCCGATCAATCAAAAGTTTCGAATCATTTGTAACGTCAAGTGGACCGCACCCATATTCATCGATTCTAATTTTTTTTAAGATCGTCTTAAGTAATATCTTATAATATGGCCCTCTGATTGATTTGTAATTTGTTAAGTACCGTACTTAAGACGGTCATGAATATAAAGCCGATTCTACATTAGTTCGTTGCGATAGCCAATCTGAAGCTTGTATTTTGAAATCAATGCTTCATATTGTCGCAACAAACTTGCGATCAGCTTGCAACTAATGTAGAACCGGCTTAAAAGGTTTGTTGGCGTAGCATACTCCAACATGCTTCAATATAATTCCTACTCATTCTAATGAGCGCGTTTGAGTGAGTAGGAGCATGCGATGCGAATAAACCTAAGATATGTCTATGAATACCGACCTTTGATTGGTTCATGAAATCTCAAGCATTAGCTTAAGATCATCTTGAATCTTGAGCAATGTTCATAGATCTCTCCCTGAAATCCATACTGACCTATGACCCGATCTCACTAATTCCGATTAAACTAATTGGTCGATTAAATGTCAACTGTGATTGAACAATTCTACTGAACAGCAAATGCGATTGATCAGTTTCAATGTATAATCGACCGATTCGGAGTTGATGAGACCAGCTCTATGTATATAATTCTGCTGAACGCAGTGTATGAAAAGCACAGGCAATAGGAATAGGCAAGAAATAACAAATTTCAACCTATCAAAAAACTATCAAAAACTATATAATGGGACACTTTTCAATAGGTGGAAATCTCTTATTCCCTGTTCCTTGTGGCTATTTCCAGCTTATCAAGTGCATGATGTAAACTAGACCGATGTAAACTAGGCCAAAAATGGCAGACGCATTACTCTTGTAAATCTAGAGCTTTAATCCAAGCCATATAACTGCCACGAGAGCGAACGGGCCAGACAGACGTTCACCAGGTGGCGACTGCGTCCAAGAGTCACCGTGATCAGGTTGATCAGGCGACTCGTAGGTACGTTGAAAGATTGCGAGTCTGTCGTGTATCATTCTGCCACATGTTGATTAGTTGAAAACAAGGAGAGATAGAAACGCGCGTATCTTCACGGATTCTTCGCCGCCACACTTGGCTTGGCACACGTCGTTCCCAGACCGTCATAGTTTGCACTTTACACTCTTCACGGTCGTCGGTACGTTTCTCTCTCTCTCTCTCTCTCTCTCTCTCTCTCTCTCTCTCTCTCTCTCTCTCTCTCTCTCTCTTCTGTCTCTCTGTTCCCCTCGCTCCTTCCTTCTCTTTTTCCCTTCCATAGACTAAAGTAAAGCCCCGTTGGTGTCCGTTAATCGAGAGCTGTAGCCGTAACACGCAACTTTCCGTATTGATACTCTATCATCGAAGAGCAGCCGTCGCGTAGAGCGTTACGTCACAAGTGCGGTCGTTGACAATTATCGAGACACGAGCTTGTTTGAAGCGAGCTTTCGCGCTGACGCCTCGCGCCTTCTGTCGCGCACTTACATCCCCGTCAAGCCGTCAGCGTATGTACATGCATATCGCGTACACGCATCCTCCGTTTCGGCTGAGGGATTAAGTATCTTAGTGCTGTGATCGTGACAGCATTTCGCTCCCGTATCGAGCCGCGCAATTTCAAACGCAATTTTTCTGTTTGACGAGTTCATCTTGTGCGTTGCGCCGTTGGTTTGGTGCCCACTTTGTATTGTTTTGCATTTGAGCTTATTTCATTTCAATATATAACCTAAAAGTTTTCGTGAATGTTGATAGTTGCCTCTTTTTCCACTTCCTTCTCCTTATCCTTTATCTCGTCCTCGAATTCATTTTCGTCTTCGTTTTTATCTTCATCTTCATCCTCGTCTTCCTTTTTCTTTATCTCATCGCGTCAGTCGTCTCTGCAACGAATCAAGCCGACAAACGTAATAACGTTGCATAAAGATATTCGAACATCCCATACCCGTACCTGTACCCGTCCACGGACAAGAAAACGGATATTTTCGACGTCAAGCAGTCATCGGGAAAGTAGTCAAAATTCCGGTCCCTACTAGGAAACAAGAGGGCCTCCAACAAACCGGCGGCAGAAATCCATCAGCGATTAGCCAAGAACAATCAAGCAAAATGAATAAGAAGAGGAACCGTACGAATAATAACAGGTACTGCCAATCACTTGGCTTTCCTCGTCAAGATCATAATAGCAGGTATAATATCCAAAACATAGCAACACATAATGATGATTATATACAAGAAAAAATTAACATTTTTTTTTCGATCCGTCCTTTTTCCAGATCTCCGCGAGCACGTGGACCACAAGAGAGGAATGTCGCAGCGGAGGGGGTTTATAACAATGCTCATTTTATGCATGCGGTTACTAGCCACGTTGGCAACACCGTACAGGTAGTGGATGACTATACATAATATTATTCAAAATAATTTGTACATACAATACGTTACTGTGATGTTTAATGTTAAATATTCTTTTCTTTGTTTTCTGTTACAGATTCAAACTCAAAATGGTTCGCTGTTTGAGGGCGTGTTTAGAACGTTTTCGAGTCAATTTGATGTAGTGTTGGAATTAGCTCATCGTGTAGAGGGCTCTGGAAAGATTTGCGTAGATAGCGTAGTAGAGAAATTAATTTTTAAACCACAAGACGTTGTTACTATATCTGCCATGGATGTTGATTTAGATTATGCTATAAGAGATACTTTTCAAACGGATACAGCCATTAGTAAATTTAATGGTTTAATCGGCGAGAAGGAACTCGAACCTTGGGATCCTCCGACTACCATGAATGGAGCCGATTTAGAATTGGATGGTGCTGCTGTAAGTGCATTTATTACAATTACTTTAAGAGGACACTTTACTTATTATTACTATTAAACGAATTGCATGTAAAATTATCCAAATGATTTTTCTTTTTTTTTCTTTTTAGAACGGTTGGGACGTCAACGAAATGTTTCGTAAAAATGAACAAGAATACGGAGTTCAAACGACATTTGAACCTTCTTTGGTCGGTTACACTCTACAATTACAACGTAAAGACACAAAAGATTACAAGGAACAAGAACAAAAAGCTGCTGAAATAGCAAATGAGATCGAATCTCAACCGAATCATAAAGCTAGATTAGAACTGGAAAACGGCGATGAAGAGGAAAGATTTGCAGCTGTGGTAAGATTCAGACTATATCTCAGAATTTCGTCTTTTATCCATCAAATTTGTCTTATTAGTTATCTGGTTCTAGACGAGACCCACCGAAGGAAAATATATTCCACCGCCGTTAAAAAAGAAAAATGGTAACACTAGCAAACTGATGAGATCCAGCGAACCTCCGTCTTCGCCAGGAACCACAAGTAATAAGAATGTCTACAGTCAACCCCCTCCGTCCACGGTTACGATGAATGTCCCACAACCGAGCATATCGGTTGGAGTGCAGCCTGCTCATACCTCGGTACAACATTCGGTATCCTTAAATATGAGTATGCCGCCCAATGGAGTGGTTGTCACATACAATAATCCACCACCGCCGTTTGTGCCTCCACCGACGACGCAGTCACAACAAGGTATATTAATATTGCTCGCATCTTGTAAAAATGAAAATCAGACGGAATACATTATTACTAATCTGCTCTACGTTAAGATAATGCTTTTGACTAAATTAACTTTGCACAGTTATTAACACATTGATAACGCTGCAATTTATATATTGCATATGTGCAGAAACAATTTTCAATTGATCACAGTTCTTTGTGTATATTTCTGTGAAATGAAAGTATGATTCTTACATAGTAAACTTGTAATGTAAATCTTGATAATTATATTTTCTCGGTATAGTAATCCAGCAGAATCAATCACAATCTCAAGTTACTCCTTCGATGCCACAAGTAAACTTCCCATCACAACAACAGACACCTCCAAATAAAATAAATACAGAAAAACGTGAGCGGCCTGGCAGACAGGTTTATCAAGCTGATAAAGCGCCACCAGCGCCATTTCCGCAATCAAACGTTGCATCTTCTCAACAACAATCTACGCATCAGCAACATACGTCATTGACGCAACAAAACTCTGTAGAAGGGCAAATAGTTATACATAAATCGGATCATAGAAAGGTACGGTACATATTCTCATCTAAATTCTTTTTTTTTTTAATCACGGGATAACTTATAAGTTTTACTTTTTAAGGTTCCAACACCACGTGGAAGAGAAGAACAGCATTCGGAACTGAGACAATTCGCTGCAGAATTTAAATTAGCGGAATCGCAAGGATCTTCAGATAGTCCTCAAATATCCAGAAAACAGCATCAGCATCAACAAGATGTGCATTCTGCTACTTCAATGAATCAGCCGCATCATCAAGGTCCTCATCAACATACCAGTCCACAGCAGCAATCGCAGCAACAACCACCTTCACAACAACATACCAGTCCTCATCAGCATCCAACTGTACAAGAGGAACCAGTTACCAGTAAGCCTCCACCTGGTCCATTGGTAAGATCTACAAGTCCGCCTCAGCAACAGCAGCAGCAACAACAGCAGCAGCAACAGCAGCAGCAGCAGCAGCAGCAGCAACCACCACCACCATCGCAACAGCAGCAGCAACAACAACAACAACAACAACAACCACCACCACCACCACCACCATCACAACCAGCTCAAACTCCTCAGAATACTTCGGCAGTGCAACAATCTCCATCGGAACCCGTGGTTGATAAGATAACTACTGCTTTTAAGAAATCTACTTTAAATCCGAACGCTAAAGAATTCAATCCAAATGCCAAACCATTCACGCCGGTTAGTAATGTACATTATTAGTTATGAAAAGTTGAACTAGATTGTGTGTGTGTGTGTGTGTGTGTGTGTGTGTGTGTGTGTGTGTGTGTGTGTGTGTGTGTGTGTGTGTGTGTGTGTGTGTGTGTGTG